TCTCTCTCTGACCCTAAAGTTCAAAATAAATTAATCATCTGTACTCATTTCAAAATGAATGAGGTAATTTCCAAGACCGCCATTTGAAAAATACAATAATCATATGTACAGTCATGTTCATACTGGCTACTTCATGATGTTTACAGTTTATTGCAGTAGTGTGAGTCTGCACTGGCAGACATGTGCGCTCTTCCTTACTGTGCACAACCAAATGAGTATCAACACAAAGTACTCTTATATTATGATCTGGGGATTACCCACACGTTTATGTACATAACACATAAGTCTCAACACAACAACAGAAGTGTACACTTTAATTTTTTTCTCTAATCTCACTCATTCATCCACTCTCTCTAATGCACTTGGTGAGCATTTTGAATACAAGATTCAAATATCAAATAAATATTTCTTTTAACTTTTTTTCTATTATAATATACTAAGCCTAGGCTGTTTATTGTATTATATAACTACAGTGTGATTGGTTATAAATGACGACTATAACTTAAGTAGCAGTCTTGTCTGGATGTCATACATTTAAAAAATTCTCCAGTAGAATTATGACATGAGGCAGTCCGGATATTATAGTAACAAATGTAACTTTTAAATTCTGGTGGTGGTGGGGGGGGGGAGACATAATACTTTGATCTTCACAATGACATAAAAAAGATCAAAAGTGTAAACAGATCATTCGGCAATAACAAAAGGGTTGCCAAGTCATGTGACCATGGCCTTATGAACAAATGCATGACTTGTAAACCACTTCAAATGTCTGGTTTCTTATGGTTGTCATCATTATGCTACATATATGCCTATTTTTTCAGCTATTGTGACATTAAAAGTACAAAAAAAAAATTGGGTAGAAGCAATGGTCACTTGTCTTTCAGCACTTTCTTCTGTTTCATCATTAATTTTAACATCTGCATAGAACTCTCATCCTGAGTGGCACAGTATTATTTATTGACTAATGACAGAAATAATCAATACTTGTGATTTACAAACTGTTTCAAGGAATTAAGTCTGTACTTCAGTACAAATATTATGTTTCTGGACATTATTCATCATCCTGTCTTTATCTACAAACACTGTCCTGTTTTTAGACAAAGGAAGAATGATGGACAATGTACAGAAATATAATATTTGTACTGAAGTACCATCATCACAAACTTTTAGATCTTATTTACTGTACTATCGGGTGTCAAAAACATTATAACAAATTTCATGCCTTCCTTCAGCAAACCCTGTTATATTTATTTACCAATATGTAATTCCTTTCCATCAATGCTGTCAACCTTCATGCATTACAGAATAACAACATGCATTATGTACTTGAAATGCTCAAATTTAAAGCATAAATACTTCATATTACACAGACTTTTGGTTATGGGAAAACATATAAGAATGAACAGTAAGAGTACAAATATTTGTGATACAAGTTATTAATGAAGACCAGATGGACACCTAAATTAAATAATGAATTTGGAGTTCATGAAAAATTCAGCTTCTATAAATTTCATGGACATTTCAGTTTTGTAACAGGGTTCCATAGGGTTACAAACTAGCCACAGATGTGAAGACTAAACATACGTGCATGCAGTCTGCATTTCATAGGGAGTCACTGCTGATTCTGGTGAGTAACACTATCTGACTATTGAAGATTTCAGGCTTTCACAGTGATTCACTACTAATGACTATAGATGGTGGCCAAACTGCTGACATTTAAAAAGCCCTTACTCTCTACAACATAAAGGTCAAGTGACTATCCCAAAGATCCACAGGTCAATGGCTATTGCTATTTTCCCACTGACTTATGGACCTGTATAAATGGAGGCCACTGTGAATATTTTTTTTATTGCTAGTGGGGTGGGACTAAGTCCCTTGTACTGTGGCCACTTCTGGCCTATTGTACCAGCCCCAGATGATAGGTGAGGGTGATTGTGGAGCAATTGGTGGAATGAAGATTGGCAGGGGAAACCAAAGTACTCGGAGAAAACCTGCCCCAGCACCACTTTGTCCACCACAAATCCCACTTGACCAGACCCGGGACTGAACCTGGGCCGCCACGGTGGGAAGCCAGCAAATAACCGCTTGAGCTATGGCACGGCCATCCACTGTGAATAAGTTGAGGTTCATAACTTCAAACCACAGGGCCTTGAAGGCTCTGTGCGCAACTGCAAGAGGTGGTGTCTGGTGACAAGCTGAACTTCAAAGCCATAGAACCACAGGAGCTTGAAGAGTTAATCACTGAATTTTAGGGCATTTTCACAATGGGGAGTGATGGGTGTCATTTGTCTGATAGAGTAGAAGCAACAGGGGTCTGGACACCAATTGGAAACACTGGCATGTTGCCTGCAGCTGTTTACAAATCTCGGCAAATTCCATGGAATGACACAGACATCACATAGCTGTTAGTTTTTAGAAAAAAGTCTAGCCTGGCAGGTGATCTAAATTCAAGGTACCCTGTTTGGAATAGTGAAGTTTCAACCCCTCAAGCTTGATACTCTTGGAATTATTTATCAGTTCTAACACTGAAATCTCAGATCCAAAATGTTCTACACATTACACACTTGATGGCAGAGGTGATGTTCTCAAGAATTTCCATGTGGGAATTCCTCCCTAGCATTTCTCCAGACATTTTTGTTTTTCTGAATCCTGGATTTCTAGGGAACAAAGAACAATTTTACAGTATGTCAAAGGATAAGATTTAGAAAAAAGAAAGGTAAGCAAACATGCAGTAGTAGATGGATTATCTATCAACACCATCTCACCATTTATCAGGGCAAGTTTCTTAAGGAAAGGACTATAGTTGCCAAAAAAAAGTCCATCATCAGTTATGGCACCGATACATAATTATTACAGTAAAATAGAACTGTACATCAAGAAATTTGGCGTTCTCAAAAGTGAAAATAAGAAAATGAGCATTTGCATAGATGAGCGGACCAGTTGTAGGAATTAAAGCTACATGAACAACAAAGTATACTACAATGAGACTCCACTGAATTTTAGTTTAATAGAAATTCAAGGGAACTGTGCTGCAGAAAAAGTGTTCGATTTACTTCAGAAAATATTAGAAACTTTTGAATTAGAACTTGAAGCATATGTGTTTGCAACAACAAATGACGGTGCAGCAGCTGTGGGAAAACTATGGGAGCCTGTGGGCCTTCATGGCCTGTTAAAGGGGTAGCTTTACCTTTTACCTTTTTTATGCAGGAGGAAAAACCCAATATTATAGGACTACACATGGATTATTAGAAGCGCAAAATGCAAGCACAGCAGTCTTCACAAAGTTTCAGAACACCTGATGATGACCAATGATGATCGAAACATGTAGTGTACAATTTGGTTTTAAATAGGTTTAGAAGACTTCTGAGTGTTACACACCATCATCAGAACCCTTTAGAATGCACATAAATATTGATGCAGAATGATGTAATAAATTATTTCATATACTGAATGAATAAAGCCATTTAACAGATGGGTTCCCAAACTTTGTGGTACCCTGACCACCTGAAACTACATTAATTTATGCAATCTCCCAGTTTCTGTTGATCAGCCAAGACTGCAGTTCTGCACATTGCTCCAGTCGACTCAGCCTCTAACAGAAATGAGTACCAGGAATTAATTAAATAATTTTCCTGGGGAGTAAAGCATGGCTGGCATGTAAGGCTGACCACCTTACCGCCATCTTTGAGCCGATTGTCTAGATAATGTGGGACCCTTTATGTCTCACAAGCCTATGGGCCTTCACGGCCTGGCACAGGGATAGCTTTACTTTCTATACTTTTACCTATGGTCCCCATCAGGTTGTACAGTGACAGGAGGAAAATATATAGCTTTGAGACCAATCAACACCTACAGTGAGCTATACAATGTTTCTGCACAGTCAAGAAATATTTTGTCACCTGAAGCTACATGTTCTGAAAGCATCTATATTGAACTCTACTGACTTGAAAAACTGTGCATGGATAAAACTACATTTTAAATCATTCCTGAGAACTTGGTTAAGTCCCTTGAAGTAGGTCATGACCCATATTCGGAGGAACCAGGACTTAATGTATGACTATCAATCACAAATAATCATTTTGCATAAGGTCCACTTTAATAAATCCAAAACTTTATTCTGGTTATAAGCCTAATGGGACACAATAACATTTATATTCCAATGAACATATTTTTATGCCACATTTTATATCAATGGGGGCAGAGGGGGAAGAAATTATTAGGATTAACCCTTCCGAGACGGATAGTATTTAAATCTTTTCCTACCGCCAAACCGACGGGGTATTTAATTATTAAACAGAAAAGTTCTCTTATCCATGAAAAACTTAGTAACTCTCGCAAAAATAGGTATATTGAGATAAAATTTTCACAGAAATATTCATAATGAAACGAAGAACAAAACTATATATATATTTTTTAATATAATTATCATAAATAATATTTTTTTACTCACTCGAACTGCTAAAAGTCGAGTTTGGTGTGGTAATCCTGAAAACATTTGTCAATACATAGCCCAACATCACAATCACTGCACCAGTACACGGTTTCTTTTCTTCTTTTGTTTTTTGTACACACGACACATCGCCTTTGTGGTCTAGCCTTTTTTCCTGATGGGGGAATTTTACTAATAAAATGTCTTTCACGAAGCCGGGGGATGGTGTTATCTAAATGGAAAAACCCTCCCACATATAAATTTGTTGCGCATAAGTGTTTGTTTCCTGAACGATATTGTTTACAAAATCCTCAGTAAAAAATAGTAGAAATGTCTGTACTATGTCAAGCACATTCACAGACTGATTTCTCTGCCCCGAATTTTCAGAAAACCGTTCGCGAACGCCATCATAATTATCCATATTTTGCCAAAAATAACTCTCGTCTGAATCCGCCACTGGAATCCTCGCCACTATTTCATCATCATCTTCAATACTATGATCTTGGATAGCATCAACTACAGCCTGATCTTCAATTTCATTATCACTGTTTTCACTACTATCCGAATATTCGAACTCACTAACTTCCGAGTCGTGAGCAAGGAGCTCATCTAGTTCATCGTCCTGTAAAACTTTCCTACTTGTAGAGGCCATGGTTATGGCGCGACTGAGAGAAGAAAGTGTTATGACATCATAGATTTCTGTATCATTCGTAAGTTTGTTTTCTTAGGTTGCATTTGGTTCCAAGAAAAAAGGACCCTCTTGTTTGACTACTTCATTGTGTCAGCAGAGTGTACAGCAACCCACTCAAGGAAAACCTTCGTCTGGGGTTTCAGTGAGTGACTCATATAGACAAGCAAAGACCATAGAGTCGAAAGATATATAGTTTTATACATTTTCCTTACTTAGAATTTGAAAAACTTCAATGCAATCTAGGCGCAATGAGACCAAAGTACGAACTATTACACTAACGATATAAAATAAAAATACCGTGCTAAAAATTCGTCCAAAATAAATAACTCATATACCAATTGAAAGATGAAACCTTAATCTATGTACTCCTAAAAGAAAATTGGAATATCTTTCCTCGTTTTGTCAGCAACGTCCTTCAAAGCTAACACTGCGCAGGTCGGTACACTGCACCGATGTCGGTGGCATACGATTATTTAAAGGGTCTGTGCAGCACACGGATGTCGGTGCGGAAGGGTTAATACAATAATGGGTGGAGGGGAATATAATAATGATTAACCTAATGTCTTAGATTTTTTATTTTAAGGATAGAGAAATATCACTTGAATCTCTTGTAAAAAAAATAGAATATAACATTTCACCACAATCCACTAAAGGGCATCTAGTAAGGGGTACCAAAAATAGGAGAATATGAAAAGTCAAAATCATGCTCTTAATGTCAATTTGTCTCTCCCCTCACATTTGTTTGGCTTCTTACAACACCATCTGCAGCTGTATGACCTAGCATCCCCTGAATCATGATAACCAATTTTGACTACATGAGTAAACTTCAGAATTTTTCTATGTGTCCAACCTTCAGGTCTTTAAAGAATATTAGGAGTTACTGCAGAGTTCCATAAACTCTCAGTAAAACTGAAGAAAACTGAAAGAGGGATGGGAAAATACTATGATATACTCTGTACTAAAATATTCTTGGGTGATCAGTAGTGAAATTTTAATCAAAAACAAATTTTTCAAAGACCTGCTGTCTCCATCGTCAAGGTGAATGCGAGGAATGCCCATTGACATATTGACCCTGATAACAGAGATATAGAAGATCTGATTTTGTGTTCCACTTCTTGCAGTCTACGTTCAACTTCCATAACTTCGGTTAATATTCATTCATCTTCTTGTCTTCATTGTATATCACATGTTTTGGCCTAATTGGCCATCATCAGATGTATAAGTTGTTGTGATGAAGGAATCTGCTGCTCTTCTGTAATGGTCATTTACATGACCATGATGGCTGAGCGCCAAGCAGCAAGCTTTTGCTCCTACAAAAACATTCAGGACGGACACAGACTGAACCAAAGTAAATTCAACAAACTAACAAAACCATAAAACAAACATATGCATGGCAATAGCACGATAACCCACATAACCTAGAACAGTCCGAGGCATTTACACAAAAGAAAAGTAGAGCAAAATCACAGAAACTTATAGTTCCCAATGATGGCCAATTAGGCTGAAACATCCAGGATGTACAAATAAAGAAAAGAAGATGAAATAAAGTTTCAGACAGATGGCAAGAAGTGGAACACAAAATCAGGCCTACAAAGTGCAACAAGATGCTACAGTATAACATTATGTGATATAGCAGGTCTTGAAATATCAATTTTTAACTCATATATGATGCCTGATGGCCCAAGAAAATTTCAGTGCATTCATTCACTGTGAAAGCTTGAAGTCTTACGTTTAACATACTCTGATTAACATGTGAATTGTTTTCATTTATCCACCCAGCCTGGTTCACAATTTCACTGAACTGATCTGAAGCAAAGTAACAGGGACACATACAACTTTACACAGTAAAACAATGGTAGGTATATAAATAACAGATTAATGGAACAAGATGAAGAAAGTGCTGGATGGCAATAAGAAACTCTTATGGTAAGCACTGTGCCAAAGTTACAAGGTCATTATTTTCAGCTGACTTACTTTCACTAGCAACTATACCGAGGTAGTGAGCATCGCAATGAGACGTGGCATGGATGAATAGGCCAGCTTCTGACTCAGAAAACTGCAACAAGAACAGCTGCTATTTGTTTGGATCAGCTGCATTTGATCTTCTCCGATGCTTACATGCCAAAGATGCTGGTGATACTGTAGGCTTCTGTTGCTGCTGGTGTGACTGTTGATTCAAACAGAGCTGTTGAAACTGGGCCTGTTTCTGAAGTGCCAACTGTAACTGTATAAATTTAGAAATCAATACTGCTTAGATGTTTTATATAACAGTACTCTACTATAAAGCATCAGAGCATGGCTAGAGCCCTTTTTCCAGAACAAAATATGGTTAAAATCAGAGATGTGTAAACACAAAGTTTCTTAAAGTTGATCTAAGACATTACCTTAACTGTGCCTTCGTAGTTCAAAATTTTCATTTACTTTTATCCTTTAAAATAGAGAAAATGTACTCCTGCAACAGAACATAAATAAATTGTGTTTCATATTATTGCCACTATAAAATCATGCAACAAATCCAGTTTAGATATTAATAACCAATTTATTCTAAATTGCTAATAAAGACATACCTAACTAGCTAAGTGAAGCTGAGCCTTTCTTGAGAAGCCAACAGTTGTGCAGCTACTCAAGAATTTTCCCAACATTTTATGGAACCCAAAGATTCACTGCCATATTCACAAGAGTCCTCCATTAGCCCCTATCCTAAGCCAGAGCATTCTAGTCCACATTACTGCATCCTATTTCTCTAAGATCCATCTAAATATTACCATTCCACATACATCTAAATCTTTTTAGTGATCTCGCTTCCTCTGGCCTTCCCACCAAAATCCTACATGCATTCTTCTTCGCCCCCATTTATGCTACATGCCCTGCCACTCTCATCCTCCTTAGCTTGATAATTCGAATTATACTTGGCAAGGAGTATTAGTTATGAAGCTCCTCATTATGCAGTTTTCTGTAACCTCCTATCACTTCATCCCTCTTCGTTCCAAATATTCTCCTGAGCACCCTGTTCTCAAACACCCTCAGTCTACATTCCTCCCTTAATGTCAGTGACCAAGTCTCATATCCATATATAACCAAAGGCAAAAATTATAGTTTTCTACATTCTAATTTTTATGCTTTTAGACAGCAAACGACAACACAAAAGGTTCTGGTCACTGGATCCAGTGACTGAGATTAGCTCTTTCTAAGGGGCCCAACTGAGTAGGTGCCTTTCTTTCTCACCTGATAACAGAAACAGATCCAGTTTATGAAAAGTCGTGTCCTCTATTACCTAGAATTCCAAACGACGAAAGTCCAAAAACCCAGTAATTCTGTGTGTCATCCACCACTGTCAGAACCCTTTAGAATCTAATCATACTAATTGTTTGCTTATCCATTACAACACAACAACTCTCAGAATCTCATTCACATCAGCTGTGTATAACGAGTTTATTGATTTCAATGGTATCTTGCTACATGTTTTGGCTTATGAAAAGCCATCATCAGGCAGATATAAACTAATAACTTATTCTTAAACTACTGAATTGCATCCTGTGTGGATATATATGTCAGAGTATTACAATCATTACTAATGCATCAGGTTTTCAGCAGTTCGTCAAAATTAAAACCACTACTGCTCTATATATCCGTTCAACTAGAATAAAACTTTTTGTTAATTAACATTCAAACAAAAGTATAAAATATAAATAACATAATAATAAATTACAAAGGTTTACAATTATAAGAAAAACTACAAAGGTTTAAAATTATAAAATACCCTTAGATGCTGAGTTAAGATATTATTACGCCGTGTTTAGACGTCGCATGTATTGTTACATACTGTGTCACTGCAATCATAACGTTATATTATGCGGTAATTTTCAGACTCTGTTTTGGTTACGATTTGATTTTTATTTCTATTTCATTCTTTTATGAAGCGGTTGTGTTGTTTGGAATCAGATGGTGTGATGTACACTGTTATTTTGCAGTCTGGGTTTTTTATTTTATGACTTCCTCTGTTTTCCTTATTCCAATGTCCAGTTCTGCTAAAAGTCATTTTCATGATCTGGTGCTTGTAAACTCCAATATTAAACATATGCAAATACAACAGGAAAATTCTTTGGTGCAAAAAATTTTGGGTTTCATGTAACACGGTTGTCAATTTCAAAGCAACATAAATAGCAGAAAGCATATTTTTGCCAAATATCCTTATGAACAGTTATGTTTCTGTAATAATATATAAGGATTTCACATAAAAGAATTAAAAATACAGAAAACATCTGCTACAGGAATGTCTGTTGAGTCTTCCCAGCACTGAAGGCTGTAACACCATTCATACACTGCTGCTGGAACCCATTTTATTACATTTGGAACATCTGATGGGCAGATTCTGTTACTCCCAAATGATGTAATGGCTGCCATATTGGATTAAACTACAATGTGGGATCTGATGTTTCCCACAAGATTCAACTGCGTCATTGCTGAGGGCTAAGAATGACAAATGGAAACATGTGAATGCAATCTTGCTACATCTTGGTGGTTCCTGATGAGTCTCCTGGTGAAGACTCAAATGGATATCTCCAGAACAAGACATAAAAGTGGTGTGACACAAGGTTCAGTGCCAGGTTTTCAACTTGACTCTTCACAAGGAAGCCCAAGCTTTATCCCAGTTCAAATAACCCTAAGTGATGCAATTTCTTACAAAGGAAAACATAGCATATATATTACATGAACTATGCAGTCAGTGCATAGTAATGGCTCTACACGCTACACTGCTCCCTCCTTAAAGTTATTCATCCCGAATGGCCTACAGTTGTAGCACCATTTCTTCTTTTCTGAGGGATGTGCTTCTGATGTCTGTGCTTGGTATCACCTTCGTATCTGTGGCTCAGTTTGCACGATGTTTACTCTCCAACTCCTTCCATTGTTCCCTCCTTAAAGCCACTCATCCTGAGACTTCCCTCATAGGGTATCAGTCAGTCCAGGTATACTATCATTCTTTCCACATTATAACACATCACAGGATGCAAACAACAAAGATCCTTCTTTCTGTTGGTGCGGGCAAACTATCTGGAGAGGCCGGTGCTCATACATCCCCAGCTCTTGCTGTGTGTGTGCAGTCTCTTCCTTCGTTTCAGAGGGAGCTGACACCTCCACAATGTCCTGACATTCATTTGCTGAATCCTGACTGACAGTTTGACTCTTCACTTCATGATCTCCAGTCTTCCTGAAGATCCTGCCAGATATCCTCTCACTTCCAAGACATAGCTGCTCCTTTAAGTTTTGGTCCCTTATTCTATTGATGCCGTCTGGTTTCACATGACATCTCTTCCCAAACATCCGTCATTTCTGGGTTCTTGGCACAGTCTTGTCCTTGCCTTGTCCCTGAAAACAGTATCCTTTATGCCATGCAGGAATGACATGGAAGGTCAACTGTCCTTGGGCAGCAGCCAACTTATTCTGGGAACAACCACTGCCCTGGGTCTGTTTCTTTGGCTGACCTCAGTGCTTTACAGCTAGATGCCAGTCCCCATACCACTCCTTTAGCACTCCAAAAGTTTCCACTGTGGCCTCTTCTTTAGGGACCTCCTCATGCTCCACCTTGAACTTGATTTCTTCCGGATTTGTCCCCCAGACTGCAGCCTCTGTCTTTCCTAGACAGTCGTTCATTTTCTCTAGCTGGGAGTCCACCCTGGCCATCGTTCTTTTGTGATGGGAATCCAACTTGGCCATAATTTCTTCTTTCAGGAGTTCTTGGTTGGCTCCCATTTCTTCTTTCAGGTGTAGCTGGCAGGCTCTCATTTCTTCTCTCATTTCCCTTAGAATGGAATCTGTTTTTGTCCTGTTGGCTTTCAGTTCTGCTTGGTTGGTTCTTCCTTCAGCCTTTATTTCAGCCAGCAGGCATGCCACCATTTGTTCCATCTCCATAGTATGGCGGTATAATGAAGAAAACAGTGCTCTTCCATTGCTGTAGTCACATTGTTGCATTATTAGGAATTTGCTGCCTAGGATCGGGAATGTGTTCACTAAGCCATTGCCTAGAAACAGGTCTACTTTATTTCCCTATCTTGTGGTTGTCGCATAGTAACACCTCTACATGCTATAATATCATGTTTCTAACTTTTCTTATGATATCTGTTCCTAGGTTTTGTTCATAATCATTTTCAGTGTGCATTTCTTCATAATAAGGCTTCAGTGATTTAGTATCTCTTTGATTTCCTTTTTTGTCTCTCCCCAAGATCAACACATAACCTGTAAATATCAGTGTTTTCATGTTTTGAAACAGGAATGGTTGACTGATTCTTAGGTTACTCAGTGATGCTGTTTCAACTGTAAAGGTCATATATTACTGAATGAGTAGGAAATATGATAGAGTGTACCATCCTATCATTCATCTGTTGAAATTTTGAAAATTCATCAAGCATCAAATCAAAATATGTAGTAATGTGACTGAAATTCAAAGCACATAACTCCCAAACACTACTCTCTAGTGTCACCACTACACAAACTTGCTAGGTGTTCTAGGAGAAGGAAAAGGAGAAAGGAGCAATGACTAATTTTATTCTGCCATCCAGATATACATTTGAAAGGAGTGAGAAAATCTTAGAAAAAATTTAGTCTGGATAACCAATTCTGCGGTTAAAATCTGAACATGATACCTCTGAAATCCAAGTCAGACATGTTACTGCTGAGCTAACCTATTTGACAACAGTGGAAGAGTTAACAAATGGCTGCTGTATTTGCATCATCATACCCACCTGTTGCTGTGCTGTGAGAGTGACAACTTGGTTTCCTGAAGCTAACGAGGAAGCAGCAATTTGGGCTGGACCTGCAACTGTAACAACATTAAATGGAATGCATCACAAAACACAAAACATGAAGTATCTGTTCAGTCCAGAGCACGAACACAATTGAATTTTCTGTTTTCAAATTATTGATTAGCATTATCATCATTTGTGGTAGATCACACTTTGATATTTGTGACTAACAATAATAAAGTGAGTGTGATGTTTTCCATCAGAATACTCTCATATTCTTTACCCTCCTATACTATGGAGATAAGACCTTACTGATAAGGCGTCAGTTGTCCACTCAGTCTAAAAATTTTCATCATGTCACAGAATCACAATGTTCACTGCCAAACTCACAAAAGTCCACCACTTGTCCCTGTCCTGATCCAAAATGACTCAGGTCGTAATGACTTGGTTGTATGTATTTCAATTTGCTCAATGCCATTATTCCCCATGTACATTCAATACCTGACAAAAATAATTCTTCTGCTGTTCCAAATATTATTCTAGTCTGGGACAGATTACAATTCTCATCCTTTACTATATTAGTTGTAAGTAAGTAAGTAAGTAAGAGAAGAGAGAGGCATTTTCTGCTAGGAAGTGTACCATCAAGTTTCATTTATACTCATGAATGGCAAACTGGAGCTACCACCAGTGACATAAGTGACAGCAAACAGTAAGGAGTAACATAGGAAAAAAAAATGAATTACCCAAGGAATACAAAATTCTTGTAAAAGAATGAGCATTAAATTGTCCAAGAAAACAAAATAATCTTTCAAGGGAAATGCATGAGTATATAATAAGATATCAAATAATCTTTAAAAGAGTCATTAAAGAAGCTAAAGAAGGGGAAATGGAAAGTATATTTTAAGAGATAAAATAAAGCAAAAGATAAGTGGCATGCAATAAATAAAGAAGTTGGAAAATGATGGAAATAAGATAAGAAAAATGGAATAATGGAACACAAATAACATCAAATCCACAGAATGTGACAGGACGTTAAACACTTTTTTTGTATAAACAACTGATGATCTCTTAAATCGAAATAGCTGTAAAACTAATACTCAATTACCTAAGGATAAACTGCTGTTCTAAAATCATATTTCTTTATCCAGTTACTGAATACAAAATACAGCGTGCATCAAAAAGTTTAACAGGCAAATTATTTGACCTTCAACATAAAATACTAATAAATGTTATGAAGGAGTTAGAAAAATGGTTTCAAAAAATAATCTTAGAATAAATACTGAAAAAACAATTGTTATGTCATGTCACTCAAAGCATATGAGATTTTCTCCAAGACCGAAGATAACTCTTACAAATATAAAAATCATCTATCAGCCAGATGGGGTGAGGATAAGGAAAGTAATACAATTTTTAAATTGCACAGGAAGGCCCTCTGAATAATGAGTGGTGTCAGTCATAACATGTCCTGTAGACAAATATTTAAAGATTATAATATATTAATGGTGTCTTCTTTATATATACTAAAAGTGATGTTTTATTAAAAAAACATAAAAATTCTAGGGTAAAAAATATGAATATTCATAAACATAATATGTGAAAAAATTTTAATTGACATGTACAACTCTGTAAGAAATGTGTGATAAATTTGGGTATCACTTCGTACAATAAGGTTCCAGATCAGATAAAATTAATGGGAAAACTTAATTTATTTAAAAAGGAAAATATATTTCATTTGTATATTATTCACCTAGCCCAAGTCAATAAAAGGCATCGATTACATGAAAATGAATGACAGACTTTACATTTCTCAAGTCTCACGTGGAGTCACCAACAGTGATATATCTTGTGGACCAGACTTTGCATAACTCTGTTCCAATTCCCAATCACTTTCTTAGCACATATAATGAAATGTCTAGTGGTTATAGCTACCTGTGTTAGGTGTTGCCATCTTGAGGGCGTGCCTCTGAGTGCTGACAATTTGTCGTGCAGCCAATGCCTGTTTATTTCCTGCCACTGACAACTGGTTAGCTGTCACAAGACCCCGTGGCCTTTGCAATCCTACAAACTGGATACCACTACCACCACTACTACCACCACTACTGCCACCACCCTAAAAACACACAGGATAGGTGATTGCAGCTATGAGTATTTTTGTCAGTGCTACTTTCAGTATTTTACTCATTATGAAAAAATCTGTAGAGTGTGAAAATCATATTCTTGTCATTTAAGCACAGGAAATCAGTCACTACAATGAAAATACTATATTTCTTGCCTTTCTACACTTTATATATCATTAGAACTGAGAGAAAATTGCAGTAATCTGAACAGCATATTGTAACTGTTCGATTGTTTATTTGATTATTTTATGATACTCTCTGTGCTATAGAACTTATGCACTACTAAATAAGTAAGAAGATTTGCATGATGAATCAGGAGCTATACAGGTCAGCCACAACATATTTTAAGGTACTACCTCAACCTCATGGGATAGTGGAAAATCACTAAAAACCTCAGATAAGAAGCTAATTTTTGTACACTTAAGAGATATATAAAAGATACTGGTCACATATGATACCATTGTTCCAACATGAACACTGGCATATTATTCACACTATAATATCAATCAATTAACACATTCCACTTTCACACTTCATGTTACACTGCAAGCAAATTCCATTAAACAAGAATCCGTACAAATTGGCATAATTTCTGTATCCCAGAGGTGTTATTAACTCCATTATCGCTCAGTTTCTTAATTAAATTAACCAGATATATTTGTACATTTATTCAGATGTTACCGTATATTATAAAAATGAGTACATTTTGTTAAAGTAATAAAATGAGATATTATTAAAGTACAACTCTCAAAAAGTCTCAAACACTATCAGTGAAAGTGAAACTCACCTGTGCTATTGAGACTGAGGCAGTTGGTCCAGCAGTACGAACATTTTGCTGGCTCAGATTTTTGACGCTAGACGTCATAAGCTGAGCCGAAACTGCAAGGACACAGAATGTAAAATGAAGTGACAGTCTCACTTGAAAACAAAACAATAGGAGGGGCTATATTTTTTAAAACATGCAGCTGTCAAGACAGTTCTTTTGAAATACCAGGGGACTGCAGAACCACATTTCCTGCTATGCCTCATCAAAGCCTAACACAGTTATCCCTTACACCAATAACCACATACAAGTAATAAACATGTACAAATAAAAGTTATACTTTCATTATTTTGCATGCATTATCTGCTTCAGAGTCAGGTCTCTGCTTTATTGGACTCATGATCTCTAGCAGCGGGGGTGGTGGTGGTGGTGGTGCTGGTAGACATCTGCCCCCTCCCCAAATTTTTTAAGAAAAGAAAAAAAATACAATTACATTAAAAGTCTACATCTCCATGTATGTACGTTGCTATTAAATTTCTTCATTTCAGTAATCCTTGCTATGTTGAAGAAGCTTCTGGAAGGATGACTATGTTCATCACGGTTTCTATGACAGGAAAAAGAAGGACTTCAATGACCACAATGTGTATTTTACTCCTCAATATTTTTAAAGTCAATCTCAAATCATCAAAATTGTCTGAACATTTCAACAAACAGCATAAAGGTGCATCTGCTGGACATTACCTTGACACCGTGAACGCTATGAGGGCATAATCTGGTCATAGTGGAGCCCTGAGAACATTTGGACGTGTGTCATTTTTTACAAGCATCCTATAAAGTTGCACATTATGTGCCAAGGAGAAGTAGTTCCACACAACAGCTGGGGAATTGGTAAAACAATGTTGAGTTGGAATTGTCAAAAAACAGAGCCCTGCTTTACCTTGCCCCAAGAAAGCACAGCAGGTGCACTGGTGAGTGAAAGCAATTCTGCTTTTTCTTTTCGATCATCGTGGCATTGTGCACTACGAATTCACTCCTGAAGGTCAGACTATTAAGATTTTTATCTGTCAGTTATAAGACATCTGTGGGGCGTGGTACGAAGAAAGTGACGTGAAATGTAGACAGTGGGAAGCCAGCTCCTCCATCACAATAATGCACCTGCTCACACAGTGTTGTCAACTATACAATTCCTGGCAAAACATTTGATTCCTACCCTTCCACAACTCCCTGTTCATCTGACCTCTACCCTCCTGACTTTTCTCTATTCCCTCAACCCAAAAATACCCTTAAAGGAAGAAGAATTCAGACAGTGGAACACACCATTACTAATGTGACAAATAACGTGAAGGTGATACTGTGAACATCCTTCGAACAAACAGTGCTTCCAAAATTGGAAAATGTGTTGGGAGAGGTGCATTGCTGCGCAAGGGGACTATTTTGAAGGGGATGATATTCAATAAGCTCTAGGGAGACAAAGATATTGTTTATACACATATTTTGAGAACTTCTTGAACACACCTTGTACATGTTTTGATATATAAACATGAAATTATGCATCTCTCTATCAGTATCCCAACTTGTGGTTGGAGTATAATTCGACTGAAATTCCATTTAATGTTTCACTGGGGAGCAGTGGATTTGAACACTAAACTGAGAGGGGAAAACTTAAATCTAGGAATACTAAATGAGTTCCATTGTAATGGAACAGTAACACTGGCTGAAATCAGCATACACACAAAAAGGCATGTCCTGTAATGCTTGAGTTCTTACCAACAGGTAGAGAAAGCACAGAGCCTGTACCAGGGGTTGTATTAGTGAGCACCATGGTTGGGTTAGAGCCTGCTGGGCCCAAGGTGGAGGTAGCAGACACAGCACTAGATGATGCCATCTGTTAGAAAGAAGATACCAGTGATACATCAGTGACAGATTTCTGTTAATACTGTTTACAAAAATTATTAATAAACATTATTCATCAACATTTTTCCTCATTCACTAATGAAACGCAACATCAATTTCTTTCATCCTGATTAATTAGATTTACTAAAGTTTCTTAAATGAAATAAATAAATAAATAAATATCTCCCACACAGTTTAAAAGGAAATGCTGTATGAGTTGAAGATCAACAGATGGACAGAATATGACACACAAACATAGTATTTATTTGTTGCTCACAAACAACACATAATGAGACTATTAAATTCCCTACATTTCTGCTCTTGTACTATGAACTCCAAATGATGCTTCACAATTTCATGCCATCTACTGTCTATGCAGACTCCTGAATGATCTTAAATGGCTCTGAAAACTTCTCAACTACTAAAGCCATGCTTACAGAGGTGGTGGTTGTGCAGGTAACTGTGGTTGTGGTGACTGGGAGCGCAGTCACTATCACACCTGCTGAGTGGGCTGACGATGTTGATACATTAAGTGACAGAGAGATAGGTACAGGCAACCCAGGAATGGATACCTGCAAACAACATTTCATCAGTTTCTATTGTGATAAAGCACCAGTGTAACATGAGTACAGTTTCCTTCTATATAAACAGTGTAACTGAGATGTGTAGACAAACTTTGGGCACAAGTTCCACATAACAAAACTAGAAAAAATGTCCATATTAACATGTCCAAAAACATTTAATTTGTGAGTTATAGATGAAAAGAGTACATTTATAATAAGTGCTCACAATGTCTGCCATGAGATTCAAAGCACACATCAATACGACTAACGGACCCGCGCATCAGTTCAAAGGTGCCGTGGTTGTTACAGATAGTCTGACAGACATCCACAATGAAATGGAGAAGTGCCTCTTCATTGTCAACAGGAGCTGCACATACAAGAGTTTTTTGGTGTCCCCACAGGTAAAAATCCAGGATTCATATCTGGTGAACAAGGAGGCCATGCAGTGGGTTCTCCTCTACCTTACTCAAAGCTGCCAAAATAAAGATACAAACCTAGGCAAATACAATTTTGAGACACCACTGTTAAAATTTGTTTGAGAATAAGAAGACAGTTGGTCAGGTGTTAAGAAATATCCCATTTTTTACTGAATCTTGACAGTTCACCACCACACTCACAAGAGCCCATGCCAAAATCTGTCATGAACCAATTTTAGATTCATTTTAATATCATCCTCCCATCTAGGCCTCAGTCCCTTCCATTCAGGTTTTTCAAATATAAATTTTTTATATATTTCACTTTCCCCAATACTGCATGTCCTACCCATCTCATTTCTTTTGTTTGGTCACCCTAATAACATTTGGTGAAAAAACAAAGTGGGAAAATTCTCGTTACATAATTTTCTCCATCCTCCTGGTCTTTCTCCTTTCTTATAAACAGATATTTTCCTCAGAATTTTGATCACAAAGACCCTCAATCCATGCTGTTCTCTTAGGGCAAGAAGAAAAGGTTCACACCAACACAAGTGGAAACATCAAGTCTGCATACCGTAGATTCACTTCTACTCACCTGAACATTCTGAAGACCTGGGATACTGGCCACGGCCCCCTGCAGGCTTGCCAAACTAAGTCCCTGAAGATTAAGATTAACACTGGACTGCGGAGGACTTGAGAGTGGTGAAGGGGTTGCAGGAGGTTTAGGCGAGGGGGATGGAAAATGGGTTTGTTGTTGCTGCTGGTTGTTCTTGGGTGATGGGGACTGTGATAGGAACTGACTCTTAGACGATGGTGAAGCAAACGGTTGAGTGTTAGGACTGGAAGATGGTAAAGGCGTGTAAGGGGAAGGAGGATTTGTCCCTGAGGTAGCTGATGATGCTGTAAGTCTTTCAAGGAGAGACGATGCTGAGTTGCCTGAACCTGGAATTGGGTTGTCTGCAGAAGGAGTCCCTGTGATGCACAAGAAATGAAACAATATTCATAGGTTACATGGCATCGAATAAGACTATGCACAGTGAATCTAAAAGGCTTGAGGAGGTGGCTTTTATGCCCTTCTTGAAGATTTATCCTGCTAATTGCCTGGAAGGGCTCAGTCAAGATTCAAAACGAGTTCACCTGGAACACAACTGAGATGTGATATTGCTAAGGCAAACCTTCGCAGAATTAATACACAATATTTCAGAGGAAGATTAGGCACAACAGAGCCTGAAGAAGCACTATTAGAAATATCTCTCCATCTATGTCAGGTTCTATTTTCATTTTTTAACACAGAATTTTCAATGCAAATATACTGGTATATATTTCAGAAGTGGAAACACTGCAAAATATATTTGACTTGAACCAGTGGAACAAATAGTAGATGAAAAGTTCTATCTTCTGGGATATAACGCTGTGTAGTCCATTGAAAGCCATCCGATATTTGGAGGAACATGTCACCTCCACCTTCAGTGTTGAAGAGTAAGCCAAGCATGAAAGCAACGTGAAAGCATGATGCAAACAGAGCTGTGGTTGCCACCCAATTTCATAATGGTTTCTTCTTTTGTATTTTCTTTGACCTGAAGATGGAGGTGACATATTTCTCCAAAATGTCAGTTTACTTTCACCAGACTATACTGTGTTATATCCTAGAAGGTAGAACTCTTCATAACCACTGTTGTGAGAATCTCAAATCCTACAAACATGTAAATGTTTGGAAATGTAGTTAACATTAGAAGAATGGGATATTTGATTCAAAGTACAAATTGCATGTGATGTGAAATACAGTATTGACACACAGGAAAGGGGAGAATACATAAAATAAAATTGAAAGGAAGACAAAAGAAAACTAAAACTCTTCTGGACATATGGGATGACTCTAATATAATCTGACACTATTAAAGTAACGTAATTATTTTCTTAACTGTAATATGCTGTATCAGTTTCTTATTTAGATCTAATGTAATGTTCACTGAAAATTCAACGAAAAGTCACCTCATTTGTTATATGATTTTATAATTAAAATGTACTGAATATGTACGCAATACTAGATTCAGTACCTTCATATTTTAAAATTAAGCTCCAAATTCAACATAAGGTCAGATCACAATATGTGCATACATAGGGCAGTTGTGGCCTGACAAGGAAGTTCGCAAACTCGCCACTGTTTGCCATGTGCACTGAGGGATTATTCATCATGAGTTTATAACAAATGGACAGTCAACCAAGTTTACTATTTGGAAGTACTGAAAATGCTGCGTGAAAAAGTTAGATGGAAATAACCCAAACTTTTTGCCAACAACTCATGGATCTTGCATGATGACAACGCACTGCTCACATGCCAGTGTCTATGAGGGAGATTTTAGCTGTGCTGAAACACCCTCCCTATTCACCTGATCTGGCCCCAATGACTTCTCTTCTGTTCCTGAAGGAAAAACTGAAAGGAAGGAATTTTGATGACACTGATGACATCAGGAGTAACACGACGGCAGCTCTGAAGGCCATTCCACAAAACCATTTCCAAAATTGTTTTGAAGGGTGGACTAGGCGCTGGCATCAGTCAATAGCTTCCCAAGGGGAGCACTTTAGAGGTGACCATAGTGATATTCAGCAGTGAGGTATGCAGCAATTTTACCATGATGAGTTCTCAAGCTTTATTGTCAGACTGGGTACAGAGCCTTGTAGGCTATGACTTTTTAGTGCTTGTAGAGGCCAATTTTTTGAAGAAAAAAAAAGTTGTCTTTTAACTTCTTGGCTAACTATATGGAGTCAAGTCCTTGAGAGGCCAATAGACTCTTAGCTACTCAAGAATTTCTCAACATTTCATGGAACCCAAAGCTTTATTCCTGTGTTCACATAAGCCCACCACTGGTTCCTATCCACAGCCAGACGACTCTAGTCCATAACACCCAATCCTATTACAGACTACACCATGAAAATATACTGGGGAGTAGAGGTATAGCACTAGATGGAAGTGAGAGGTCAGCTTCATGCTCCTGCCACTTTACCACTGGGAAAAGATCCCCAGGTACCCATTGGATAGAAAGTTGGGTGGGCCCCAGAGTCTGTCTGGACAGTGTGGAGAAGAGAAAAATATTGCAATGCCAGGAGTTGAACCTGGGCCATCACTATACCGAATGAGCTATCCTGACTCCTATGTACCAGTTATAAGTGTTCAATAATTCCAATTATGAATCCAAACCCCAAGTCTAGTTACTAACATGTGACATTCATAAGCACAGATGACATCACAAACAGGTAGGTGTTCATTAAGTCTTTAGAGTAGGTGGAGACTGGGGAAGAGAAAAGGGAGGAGTACAGTGACATTCCACAGGCAGTTAATAAGAATCAATAAGCACAGGAGACCTAATTACCTGCTAAGAGAGCAGAAAGTCCAGGCATTGATAGGCCAAGGTTAGACCCAGTTGCTGATGTACTTGTTTCAGCAGCACTATTCCCTAGTGAAGTCACTGATAGTCGTCTTGATGCTGGCGAGGAGTTAAGAAGCCTGCTTGAGTGATTCAATGTTACTGCTTGCTGAGATGTTGTTTTTTTTGCACCTACAAATCAAAGTGGAATACCCATCAGAATAATGAAAGGCAATATCTGACGTTTAAAGGGTAATGAGGCTCTGCTTCCATGGGCATATATTAGTAAAATACATTTCACTGCTTTATAAATTATGTAAAATAACTAATAATAACATAAAATGAATTACAAATAAATACAGAATCATAAACTCTAATGTCAAACATGCTGGGACCAATGAAATGTTTACTGCTTGATTGTATCAACGGGAAATGTGTCTCCTTTGAAGGACAAACAGTGCCTATAAATTCTTGTGTGATTTTAATGTTCTTTTTTCATGAGTACAGCTCTGTGAATTGTAATTCCATGCTGTTCTGAGGCAGCAGAAGCAGAAGGCAAGTTCGGTTTGCTGCTTGCTTCTGCTGGTTTCTTGTTTCTCTTATTCTTCAAACCCGCAGACGGAGGCAATATGTCCTTCTGAAAAATCAGGCTCTCTCTCAACTACAAGGCATTACAACACAGAAGACCCATAAAAAAGTAAAGTAAAGCTATCCCCGTACCAGGCTGTGAAGGCCCATAGGGTTGTGAGACGTTGAGGGTCCCACATTGTCTAGACAATCAACTCAAAGATGGCGGTAAGGTTGTCAGCCCTACGTGCCAGCCGCGCTTTACTCCCCAGGAAAATTATTTAATTAATTTCTTGTACTCACTTCTGTTAGAGGCCGAGCAAACCCCAGGGCCTAGTGCGGCTGGAAGGATTAGGTCAACTGAAAAAAATCCAATGAACTCATCGGGACTTGAACCCGCAACCTTCTGGCTTGTAGCATAGCTCCTCAACCACTACGCTACCATACTCTTCATATTCACTACCATGACACCCTCAAACCCAGCACCCTTTGCTCACATTCTATATTAAAAAACTAACATTGCTTGCATATCTGTCAATAAGCTACACGCACAGAAAATTTTAACTACCATCATACTGGTGTTATAAATAACAGAAAATTAAAAGGTAAGTAGGATGGTCTGGAATGGCACAACAATTTTCATGATAACTCCATGATACACGCAGAACTGGATGCACATATGGACATGATGACATAATTGTATCAAGTCTTTCATATTGATTTCTTGGCTAGATTTCTATTTTACTGGTGTTTTCACTGGCTCTACAGCCCCCTTGGGCCATGACCTCCGATTTTTAGTTTCATGATCATTTTACAGACAGTAGGGCTCCACTGATGAATGATCAGCTTCTCGCAAGGCCTTTACCTAAACACAAACACAGAATAAACACATACACATACAAAACTTCCTTGCCTTGTGTGGGATTAGAACCCACGGTCCCAGCTTCCGAGCAAGCGAAGACAGTACATGCCTTAGACCACTCGGCTACTGTGACCGGCAGAGGCGTATAAAACCTGAATAATATTTGACATACCTGCATTTGGTGTAGTAATAGGAACAGAAGAGAAACCCATGTTGGAGGCTTGTAATGTAGTAAGCCCAGAACTGTTGGATGAGATGGTGAAGGCTTGTTGTGTTTGCGATGGTGGTGGTGGTGTTGTTGCAGGAGGAGCAGCAAGTTGTGATGCAAGAGATGACAGAGTCACTCTCACTGGTTGCTGTTGTTGTTGTTGTTGTTGTTGTTGTTGCTGTTGCTGTTGTTGTTGTTGCTGCTGCTGCTGTCCTGTTGCATTATTCTGAACTAATGCATTCCCACTTGTAACACTATTATTAGGCAAGGTACTATGATTCATCAAGCGTGAGTTCAGGAGGTTTAATGTCATTTTTCGGGCAAGAATCTTCTGATTGATAGCTTGAGCAGTAGCTGGATTCACATTTGTGTTACTGCTTGCCACTGTGGGTTGAGAACTACTCAGAAGGCTTAGCATAGTAGCATTATTCGAACTGCTTGTCACTTGCACTGAATTTGTGACCGATAATCCAGTACCACAGGTAGTACTGGAAACAGGAACAGTGTTTGTGGCTGCAGATGTGCTTGAATTTGTCTGTGCTGTGGCTGCAGCTGCTGCTGCCGCCGCCGCTGAAAATAAAAGCATATAAAATAATACTTTCAAGGTACGATATATTAATATGTTCCATTCACTATTTTACAGTACTGTATTAAGTTTCAGTGACAACTCACAAGAGTGTATGAGACAGCAATCATAGTTAACTTTAGGCTGTTATACCAGTTATATTTGCTTGGAAGAACCAAATAAAACCGTGACAAACCTGTCAGGATAGTCACTCCAAGGACTGGATTCAAACTGAATTTCTACCAAATGCAAATCAGTACTTCACCTTTGTACACAATGCCATTTCACAAGAACTGACTCCTGAAATTTTGCCCAAATATGAGCATATTGGAATCAAAAAATCAGCAGCAGGATTTAAATCTTCCACTAATATGGCGCTGGGGGCCAGACTTGGCACTAATGGTATTTTTAATTTTTATTGAATCCAACAAAATGCTAGTCCTGTTGGACTCATGTATGTGCCATCACAGCACTATGCATGGTGAATGAATGTTAATCAGCATTATTCATCACCAACTACAAGCAAGGCCCCTGGGACATTCTTACTCAAAAGATATCTTCTCAACATTAGTAAACTGTGGCCTGACACAAGCCAGACATGTAACATGTAGGATCATGAAAAGCCTGAAAATTTCTGCTGGACATACTCATGAATTACCGTATTTACACATGTATAGGCCGCACATTTTTTGCCAAAAATTCAAGAGGAAAACTGGGGTGTGGCTTATATTCGAAATCACACTTCATTTAAAAAAAATTATATTCATAATTATTTCGGAATAATTTCTACTCCTGAAATAATATTCCAAGAAAATTATATTTTCTATAATTTCTGTCTGAAAATTGTGCTGCGGCCTATACACGCACGCGGCCTATACATGGGTAAATACGGTATGTAGAATTTGTAATGCTTATACTGAGCAAGTGACCACCTCTGTGGTCTAGTGGTCAGAGTTCCTGGCTACTGATCCAGAGGTCCGGGTTTGATTCCTGGCGCTACCAGATTTTTTCTAAGAAGTAGTGGATCTGGAATGTGGTCCACTCAGCCTCGTGATCATAACTGTGGAGCTATTTCAAGGAAATAGCAGCTCCAGTCTAGAAAACCGAAATTAACGGCTGTGTGGATTCGTTGCACTAACCATGTGACACTATCTATCCGCAAAAGTTGGCACTAAACTTCGCCACTAAGCGGCGGTAGCTCGGTCGGTATAGTTCGCTTGTGGACTAAAATCACGGTGTTTTTCTTTATACTGAGCAAATGTTTTGGAGGTGCCTGGTCCAAATCTTGGCCAGAACACAGATTATTCTAAGGTTCTTTGTGGCCTCCCTCAGTCCTGCCAGGCAAATGCTGGGCCACTACTACATCACAACCACTTCCCTCCACATCCTATTCAATACGTTATTCAATATCATTCAATGATTCTATAATCTGAACCAATATCATTAAATTAACTATATCAGTACAGAGGTCATGCAGTGTTCAGTGAGCATGTGTTGATTATACTCGTAAGTTGTGAAATGAAAGTGATGTGGGATAACATAACTATGGCCTACTGCAAGGTGGTACATCAGCATTTGCCTGGATTGCCTGCATGAAACTGTGAAAAATATTGTCAGGATAGCTGATAACTCAGCTAATATTCTTCTAAAAGCAACTGACACATTCTAATCATATGCAATATGAAATCAGCCTCCATACATCTATCAGACTGGATACTTGCTGGCATATTGGCCTGATCAGGGCAGAGAAAGGAGTTAAACATGGAATTTAAAAAGTCTGAAAACTGACTTACCAGCAGCCTGTTGCTGTTGGTACTGTTGTGCAGAGTTCATGAGGCTGGTGACTAAAGCACTAATGGCTGGGTTTGTTAAGTGACGTGTACCACTTGGGGAAGATTTCTGGACCTGACTAGGTGCTGGTTGCATTGATGACTGCATCTGAGGCTGATGTTGCTGAAACGAAAGAATATCCAAAATGTGTGCATAAAAATATGTGAAGACCAGAATAACAATTATGTTCACTGTTTTTTTGTTCTCATGGCTAACCAAATTCTTTAAAAAAAGCTGATGTACACAAGAAGTGTTTCAAATTTATCAAAAAGGCTCATCGCATGAAACCATCTGATGTATTATTCACATTAGTTCACATTTATACAAAATCATTTAAGGTCCTCTGTCATATTCAGCCTGACATTCATGGAAATAACTTTTCAGTTGAGCGTTGGACTAACTCCAATCAAAAGAAGGGAAAAGAAATTTGGTCCCTGTAGTTTGTCATGTACTCAAAAAATGGTTTTGATGAAGATTCTCCATAACATTCATTCAAACAATAGTGCCCCTCCCCAATTCTAGTCCAATGTGTGAATTTAGCTGTTAATAATATGAATTGGGTCTTCTGAAATGCCACATGTAACTATATATTTCATATAAATAATACATATTATAAATTATATGAAATTATGAAGAGTTTTATCTACTGGGATGTAATGCTGTGTGGTCTGGTATAGGCCTACCAACATGTTGAAGAAACAAGGATACATCACCTCCATCTTTGAGGTCAAAAGGTAAGCCAAGCAAGATAAAGCAAGAAGCTGGTAGTAAATCTTTGACAGATTTTTCCCACATTGCACGGCAGTACATCCCAGAATACAGGTCTCATTATAGCTACTACTGTGATAACCTCAAATCTGATATATTAAATTACATTGTCTAAAATATTTTCAATATAATAATCAACAAAAAAGTAACCTAGTTCTTACTGTAAAGTGACAGCAGCCAAAGTGGCCATTAGTATTCCTTAGACTTACACAATTTTAATGAGCATTCTCAATAGACATGCACATAGATGCATACACAATGCATGAGAGCATGTGTATGTCTATGGTGTGTGGCATAGTGAGTATGGGAGTGCAGTACATATTTATATGCCTCCAGTTCATGAAACCATTTATGTTACCAACATAACACTTATGAGATTTGTTAGTGCTGTATAGATCCTGTTGTGACAGATATTTGTCTGTAAAATTCATTACAGAAAACACAGAATTCTACAGTGAAACCTATCTAACCTTCATAATCTATAACAAAGCATTTACCAAGCATGCTGGTATAGTGATAATGTTCTAGACCTGTAATTTGGCAGATACTAGGTTCAAATCTTGATCAGATACTGGCTATCCTGATGAGGGTTTTTGTGGTTTTTCTCAGCAACTTCAGGGAATGCTGGGATGGTACCTAATTTAAGCCATTCATTGTTCCCCAATCATTCTACCACACAAAACTATATGAGATACTGACAGCTGACAGCAGTATAAAATAAACAAGAGAAGATAGAATCAATTTGAAAAAATTACCCGATACAAATTAATTGACGGTCTTATAGAAGAAAATCTAGTGACTCAGCTGATTACAGCACATATGAGGCTTACAGACCTAACAGCAGTAAGAACAGACACAGATATCTCTAATTGGAACAAAAGCAATAAATATGTGCAAAGCCAGTAGTCCCTCACCATTATTTTCATCATATACACGAAACAAAAAGAAAATACAAGAATGAAAACTGGCCAGATATATAAACCAATTAAATTGGCAGAAATTCTGACAGTGATACTATGCTATTTGCTGATGATCAGATCCTTCTGGCCAGATCTGATGGGGGTCTAGAATAAAACTTCAATAATATGGGTGCAGAATTTTCCATTGAGATAAATAGCAAAAAAAATTACATTATGGCTCTTAGAGGAATGGAACAAATTAGAAGCAAGATCTTTTTCCACTGACAATTCCACTTTTGCGTGGATAGTTTACAGATATGGAAAGATAATAACACAGTGACATTTAGTGATAATACTAATTACTTGTGATATAATATAGCGCATGAAGGAAACAAGGATCTGAATGTGAGATATGCAAATTTTGTCAAAATACTAGGACTTATAAATCAGATCTTCAAACCATTATTAATTTTTATGCATGCAAGAATATGAATTTATTTAACAGAATACTTATTGGTAATTTATGTTATAGCAATTAATCATGCATGAACAGTTTGAACAGATGAGAGAAACTGATATCAACAAAATGCACTACAGGATACACTCTTTTGGAGAGTAACAATGTTCCAGTACCAGCAATCCTCCTAGAATATGTCATCAGATCAGTTCCATCTTTAGTTCTCTAGTGAAGATAGTGTGGCAACTATCAAACAATTTTCAATTCTCTCATTTATCTGGTGACTATCAGAACACACAACCTCCTGCATATGACTCACAATATGATTATTCTGGCATGTTGCAACCTGTCCAGCACGTGAACAATTCAGGGATGTTCTCGAACCAGCAATGCTACTCACTCACCACCATTCAGGATATAATATGTTTGTCATATACCAGCTGAAACATCAGTGTTTCTGTCACTTATCTTTGTAATCACCAGAAAAATGTGATGCTAGCCCACTGCTTGAGGCAATCAGTTTTCCCACTTTTGAAACTTTCTATGCATTGAATTCATCTCTAGTACCGAGAGGGCCTGCAACTGAACAATTATGCTGTGTGTGGAGGTGTGAAAGTTTTGACTTGCACAGGTAGGCTCCAGCCCACCAGCCATAATGGTGTCATATTCACTCTTCCCAGAATTTTTGAAACCACTTTGTTTGCTTTACCAAAGGGATTCCTCTTCAAACACTGTCAGTTTATAAAGAATGTAACCTTCATTATGACAAAAAGTATTTCACATGTCATTATACATATCTTGATAGGGTTGCTTCCCTATAGAGGTTATCTAGTTGAGATGTCTTTATGTCAGTGAAAATTAAGAGTATGATTTTACAGCTTCACAGGTGGTTGCCTCGAAAAGATTTAAAGTTTTCATAGCAGAAAGACATTAAGATTACATAATTTTTTAGATTATGATATGGTTTAGTCTTATGGCTAGTAACCACACAGGACTACATCATGCCATAACCCAGAAGATCTCAATTTATTTTACACCATTGTGATAACCTGAAATCTCAACTGTCACTTTGTGCTTATTATTCTATGATGTAAAGCAAACTCATTATTTAGTTGATGTTTTATGACACTGTGGGGCACGCGGTAGCACAGTTAGTTGAGGGGCTATGCTACAAGCCGGAAGGTCGCGGGTTCAAGTCCTGATGAGGTCACTGGATTTTTTCAATTGACCTAATCCTTCCAGCCACACTATGGCCCTGGGGTCGACTCAGCCTCTAACAGAAATGAGTACCAGGAATTAATTAAATAATTTACCTGGGGAGTAGAGTGCAGCCGGCGCGTAAGGCTGACAAATTTACTGCCATCTTTGAGCTGACTGTCTAGATAATGTCGGACCCTCAACGTCTCACAACCCTATGGGCCTTCACAGCCTGGTACAGGGATAGTTTTACTTACTATTTTTATGACACTGTATCAACAGCCAAAGTCATGTAGCATTCATTGAAACATAACAAGACCATTAAGAAAGATAAACAGGAAGAGATGCTGGGGGATGTGTTTGTGGCCTAATTTAAGGTATTTTCCCAGTACTTTACAGAATATGAAAACACCACAAAAAGCCCATCAGAATAATTGGTCTCTGACAAAGGTTCCAACTCAGCATTTCACAAATGAGGGTCACACATTCTATCACTATGCTAATCCACTCAGTCTAAAATATTAGAACCTGATTTAAATCCATGTCATTACAAAACAGTGAAATTTCATATGCTTCAAAGATGAAAAAACAAACAACAGTGCACATTTATCCACCTCAAGAAATTGCAAATAACAGGGGATCTATGAAGCATCATCTCTGAAATGTACCCCTATTCATATAAATATGGCCTTTTAAAGATACCATCCCAGGATTCTCCGAGATAAGGAACCACATAAGAACTTAATTTATTAGAATGTGAACTTTGTACCTCCTGAAAAAAATGACATGAGATTTATCCCAAATCTACACAGATGAGTTCTTTGCTGTAAAGTATCATGCAAGATAAGAGCTTCTAGATTTTAACGGTGATGATCCCTATGGGCGTGTTACAGTACTTCATTCATTTCACCATAGTTATGTTTGATACACACAACTGTGGGGGATATATTCAATATATGCAACATTTAAGGCGTGTGATCAGTTGTCATTATACTGAGAGATATTGTTTTATTATTTGTATCTACAATATTGGTGAAAGCAGCTAAGTATTCTATGGTATACCTGAGTTTCAGAAAAGACTATAGATCTTATGGGCTTTTACTTCCAACTGTGACACCTGTAAAAAGTCAAATTCTCAGTCTCTGCTATTCTTTTCTGAAGGCCAGGAAGGCCACCGTCAAGAGCAAGGGCAGAGATCAACAAATGCCTATGGGCCACTGTCAAGAGCAAGGGCAGACATCAACAAATGCCTATGGGCCACTGTCAAGACCAAGGGCAGAGATCGACAAATGCCTATGGGCCACTGTCAAGTACAAGGGCAGAGATCAACAAATGCCTATGGGCCACTGTCAAGAGCAAGGGCAGAGCTCAACAAATGCCTACGGGCCACTGTCAAGAGCAAGGGCAGAGATTGACAAATGCCTATGGGCTACTTGAGACAAGCAGTCTCAAAGAGGGAGCAATGTGACAAGATGCTTGAAAAATTGTCTGCTGATAGGTAATAGCTCAATATACGTGTATATATATCATCAAACATGTGATGCAACAACATGGGAATTGGTGGAAGTGGTATCTTCTATGTGGGCCGTCCTGAGGCTATAGAGTGAGAACCTCTAGGCGAACATGTGATAGCCAGCGAGGGACAGTGATGGATAAGAGGCTACGAATAGTAGTTGAGATTGCAAGCCAGCTGCCATCCAACAAGTACTTAAGCATGGAACTAAGCAAAGCTCCATGGTTAGCAGCTTTAACCAAGTGATACCTAATTAATACTGTAAGAAAGCAATGACTAGTGAACATAATGCAGTGAGACTCAATGTGGGTTACAGTGATTTGTTAAGTGTTTAGATTAGTGGTGGTGCCATAATTATTTGTAGTTACAAGTGTTCAATAAATTCACTGTATAAATAACCTTTAAAAATGCTTGTCATTGGTATGATGCATTTTGGGGTTCTGAAAGTTTAAGCTTTGTAGAGTTAAAAGAATCTCTATAAAAATTAACATTTTTATCCACGAAATTCTTTCTTGCATTTCAATCTTTTCAGGACACAGTGTCCCATGGTTTGTCCAAACTCCAAAACTAGCCTCTTCCAGGGTTTTGTAATAAAAATCTTTCACACAAAATTGTTAGACATGTTCATAACATGTCCCCATACATATTTCACAACTTAAGTTAAAATGATTTATGAAATCAAAGTATTTCACAGAGCTACCACATTGTTACTTTCCCATCAGTCTCCTAAACAAATCAATCTACTAAATATTGTGTGTATAGAAAGCAGTGTCCCCACCTCTCATGGTTACATGTTACAAAATTAAAAAGTACCTTGATGAGTTGGCATCTAATGACAGACTTTTAAACTGAGTTTCATTGAAACTGGTTAACTAATGTAGACCACAGTTTCTCAAACAATGGGTTGCAACCTATCCTAAAGAAGGGCCACTGAGCTGTCAAGAATTATTTAAAATGCAAGTGTATCTAGGCACGGTCGGCAAGTCAGTAAGCTAGTAAGTTTTGAGACAGTTGCTTTCAGAAAATGTAGCTGCAGCCAATGAAACATTTCACAGATTTCTTTGTGACAGTACAGGGATGTTTTATAGTTCGCTGTATGTGTATGTAAAGCTTTCAGGACCCTGGTATCATGATACTGCCTGATAGGAATATGTTACAATGAGCAGTGCAGCACTTTTTGCTGAATGGCAGAGATGGGAGGTTGGGCAAATTTATGCAATATTTTAGGGGCTTGCAGTATCACAAATTTTCAGAACTCCTGGTGTAAACAATAACTAACACACATATATGAAGAGAGACACGTAACTCAATAATTGGATTTTGAGCCCCAGAAAGATGTACAAAGTGATAAATGCTCTAAAAAAGAAAAAAATTATTACTGTAATAATTCATTCAGCTGATAAGACCACTAAACAGTGCGCGCACGCACACACATACACACACACACACACACACACACACAGGTACTCTATTACACGTAATCAGACCTGGTGTATCTTGGACACTTGTCTGCAACATTTACGTGAAATGACAAAACAGACTGACAGACACTGAAAAAAAAAATACACGAATTTGGGCTACATTAGTTCAGCAGCTTTGAAGGGTTCAAAATTTTTCTTTTGTTAACAAACAAATGAACTCAATGATATAGGATTTTCTTCAAAAGTTGACAGTTGCTCAGCAGATCAGGGAATTCCCTACTTCTAGCATAAAAGTTCATGTTCATAAAAACCTGACAGAAGACACTAATCTGAGCCAACAGAAACCAATCTATATTGTGATATACTATTTCTCTGTTAAATATACAATTATATTGCCATTTTTGCATAAGTCTCCCAAGTTCATCACTTCTTTCAGGCCTCCTGACCTACACTTCATATTTTTCATTCTCCCATACATGATACATGCCTTGTCCATCTTTCCTCCTTGATTTAATCATCCTAAAAATATCAGGCAAAGCAATAGCAACAATTAAACTCCCAATTATATAATTTTCTCTCCTACGTTCTTGTTGTTCTCTCTTAGGTTCAAATATACTTCCTATCAATCTGCCGCAAACATCCTCAATCTATGTTAATTCTTCAGAACAGACAAAAAGTCCATTAAAAGTTCAATGGAAATATAAATTAATGACACCTGACAAGAGTGAGAAAAATAACACATGCTTATGTAGGGTGGCAGTACACTTGTGCAGTTGGTCTCTCAGGCAACACAGAATTCTCAAGTACACTGCATCAAGAAAAATGTAATTTAGTATTGAATGATGAACTGTAATATTATGGGGACTTCTTTTTTTATTGCTAGTGGGGTGGGACTAAGTCCCTTGCACTGCGGCCACTTCTGGCCTATTGTACCAGCCCCAGATGCTAGGTGAGGGTGATTGTGGAGCAATTGGTGGAATGAAAATTGGCGGGGGAACCAAAGTACTCGGAGAAAACCTGTACCAGCGCCACTTTGTCCACCCGGGATCAAACCCGGGCCGCCACGGTGGGAAGCCAGCAACTAACCGCTTGAGCTATGGCGCGTGGCCAATTATGGGGACTTGGGAGAGATGACAAACAATGACAGTGCCACATTTTAGCATTTTCCTGAACTGACTGGGATAATCTATAATACAATCTCAGGATTCTGTTCATGACTTTTCAGTGCATGAGCCTGTTTAGTGTCATGGGGAAAGCCATTTGTTTCAAATCTTCATCACCATCCCCTTTCTCCCGTTTTATTCTCTCTTTCATACCTGCATCATATTTACTTCTTTCTTTCATATTCCTTTCCTATTCTTTTATTTGCCCATCTTATTATCATTTTGTTCCCTTTTCCTTCTTCACTCTCCTTTATGTTAGAACAGTTCAGGTAAACATTGCTCAAAGGCTCTTACAGTCACAGAGTATGTGAAAGCATATACAAATGTTACTGAATGATGTATCAGGGATGTTTAACATTAACACCATATCTCAAACACTAAGAATTAACTACTTTGCCTGTGGGCACTATATCCACCCATAAAGACTACATTCTTTGTCAATGGCAACATATACCAAACTGGCTTTTATGTACATAATGAGAAGCCTAGTTTCAAATCTACATACACGAAAAAGCAGTCACCTTACTACATATATTCAAAATCAGGTATGCAAAAGTGATTTCACACACACATTTTTCATATGATGAGCCATTTTTGATAAATTTTATAACAATTGAATTTGGTGTAGATGGATGCTGAAAGAGTGTACTTGTTACACTCTACTGGATGTATATAACAGACAGAAACATACTGATGTCAAAGATGAAGCAGAACCATTCTTGATGGAATTCTGTGATGTAACACCTGCCACTGATGACACACCAACTCCCATTCCTACTGCTGTTGATAGCGACGTTAGAGAATTTGTAACATTTGGCAACACTGAACTACTTCCTGCAACATTTGGTGCAACGATTGTTCCATTCATAATATTTGCTTGTGTCACACTAGACAAATTGTTAATGGAAGAATTACTTATATTTGTAACACCGGTAATGTTTGTCACAGGTGGCGGTGACACTACTGAATTACTAAGACTTAACACTTGGGGTTTATGAGTGTGTATATGTTGATTTTGAAGTTGTTGAGTTTGCATTTGAATCTGAGACTGAATTTGTTTGGTTGGGATATGATTTGATGTTTGCATTTGTAGATGGACGTTTGGTGACAGCTGTATCTGACTTGAAACTTGGAGCAGCTGGTTTTGCTGTGGAACAGTTTGTTGGTTTTGAATCTGAATTGGACTGTGCACTTGAGTCTGTGCTTGTTGTGCCTGAGCCTGGAAGTGTTGCGCCTGAACCTGGGCCTGGGCCTGCTGTGCCACTCTGGCATTTCTGTCCCTCATGCTTGACGTACAGGTCACTCTTGTAGGCTGACCAGGAACAACGTGGGTAATTCTGACGGACTTACGCCCCTCCTCAGTAAATATCTCTGTGAACTGCTGGATGTAACGATTAGCCTGCACTCTTGTCCCCAGGAAAAATCTATAAAATAAAAATGTAATATAGTTACTTACAGCAAGATACTTGATCCTCAACTTATGAACAGGATATATTCTAAAGTCCCGTTTGTAAGTTGAGTCATTCATGTGTCAAAATGCAAATTTCCCATTAGAAATAATGTAATTAGCAGCAGATGCAATCCTAAGCCTATGAACAAGGCCTATTTAACATATAATACTGTATGTTGTTTACCCTATAAATGAATATTACAGAGAACAAAACACATTCCCAGTCAAGTAATTAAGTAGAAGTAATAAAATAAATAATAATAATGAGTTCGTGGAAGAACTAATCACCTACTTTCTTTTACTACAGACACTATCAAAATACAGCTCTTTCAAATAAATGCAACATATAGAAATGAGGAAGCTCTTACTTGCATGAGGTGCCATTTTCCTCTTTCTCTTTGTAGTCCCTGTCAACGTACAGTTCCCCCAAATATTCAGCGTTGGAAGGCCGCTGAAGTATGGATAGCTTAATGTGGTTTACTTTTCCCTCAGGACCTTCTGATTCTAAGATATACTCCTCAACAAGCTGAGGGGAGCAGTCATTTGTTTCACGTGGACGTTCATATGCTCTGGCAAACCTCATAACATCCACACCACCTTCAGGTACTGTAAGGTCTGGCATTTTAGAGTCCAGTGGAGAAGCAGGAGGAGGCACCAGAAGACCATTTTCACACGGCTGAATACAGAGAGAACATTATGAAAGAACAAGTTATTGGAGGCAGCCTCTTATATCAAGTTATTATATGTGCTGAAACTGTCTTACAGACAATACTGTACATGTATACAGTGTAACCACAATACAGTGAACACAGATTAGAATGAAAAGTTAATTACAGCCTGCAAAATCATGGGCACCATCAATTTCTTAATATTACACATATGGAAACAATTCTGCGCAAAAGGAGGAAATTTTTCTCAGACTTTATTATAGCAAATAATTTCCAACTAGATGTAACTCTTTTCCATAGAAGATGATTACATCACAGCATCATGTTGTGTACTACACTGATTATAAGCTAGGAATCTGTTGATTCTACACAGTATGTATACAATGTGGCATGCCGCCAAAAAGCCGGGCGATAAGACGTCCACTGATAGGCAATGGCTGCGATAAGAATGTATACTTCAGTGGAAACGCAATACCAGCAGACCACTGCATAGGAATCGCCAAACAACAAATGTGTTTCCCCAGAAATAGAAGGATATCCATGGAAACGTTATAAAAGTCCAGCTTCGATGAGACCAGTAAGTTTTTAGTGTAGCTCCAACTGGAGCAGAAGCAAGTAATTGTGATATGTGTGTAAAGGTAAAGCTATCCCTCCAGCAGGCCCAAAGCTCCCACATTTTCTAGATAATCGTCTCTCAGATGACAGTGAGGTTGTCAGCCTTACGTGCTGGCTGCCCTTTACTCCCACCACCCAGGAAGATTTCAGGTTCTGTTAACCACAGGAATGAACTGAATCTGCATTATGGCCACCAAGACATTGAATGGCCCACATCAGAGCTTCACTTATTCAGGGATGTTCTTAGCTTTATTGATTGGTTCATGGTGCTGCACTTCACAGCAGCTAGTGCACTGTTAGTTGTGTGGCAAATATGAATTTTTTCAATGAATTAATAATGCTGATGGCTGGCAATGTTTGGAATGAAGTAGTGACACTTCACAGATCACACAAGATGCTGAAAATGCTATCCTGGCATTCCTTACATTGACAGACGAGGTTCTGGTTTACTCTTTGCAGTTGTACTGCAGAAATATTCTCAATTTCTCATGGACATCTTCTTTTAGGCCTTGCATTTGGGAGTTACTCGTTTAAACTCTGCCCTTCAAACAAACCCAAAGCAAATAATCACAATGTATAAGGTTGGGTGAATGTGCTGACCAAATAACACTGCTGATAATTCTGTCCAAGAAGACATCAAATGAAGTCTGCAGACATACAGCATGTGCAGTGTCTTGCTGAAACCAGCCATACAATTTTTCTTCTATTGTGAATGCCAGAAATAATTGCCCAAGGATCACCTGTACATATCTTTTGTAATTAATCGTTTTGTTACAAAAATGCAAGTCCAACAATCCTTCTTGCACTCACAGCACACAAGACACAAACTTCACTGGATGCAGCTTGACTTGATGATTAGACGTGGAGTCTGTGAACTCTAGTACTGATTATTTTGCATATTTATGTACCTTTGTTCCTCTAGGCTGGGGATTGGGCGTGAGGCTAACAACCTCACACCATAAGAACTAAACTGTTCAGAAACCAGATAATAACCCTGGGATGGATGGATTGAACAGAAGTCGACATCAGCGAAGGAGCAATTGGGAGCAAAGATGAATAGTGGAGAATGGAGGCAGACTGTTCAGGAGGATGAAGATCCTGAGCTGTGGTACTGAGGGGAAGAATGTATCCTTGTAAATGAAACCATGCTTCATTGGAAAAGAATGTCAATTATGGACTGATTTCACCTTTGATGACCAACTGCAGAAACCAACTGCAAAAATGAACTCTCTTAGCTGATCGTAAGACTGCAAGGCATGGATTGTTATTATTTTATAGGGACTGAGCATCAGCAATTGTGTTGCACTTTGTGCACTTAATTTTTAAACTCCAGCCTCTTGAGCTGTGTGCTCTAGTGATTTCTAGGTGTATGTTCAAGCCTGGCTTCTATGTCATCAAACTTCTCCACAGTAAATACTGCTTATGTTTTTGTTTCTTGTCTATTAACAGTTTTGTTGATCTAAGTTTATTCACTAAATTGTGAATTGCTTGTCTGCTGGGTACTCATTCACCACAAAATACTGGCTAACATTTTCTTTTAAAATCATCATCATTCACAGTTCTTCCATTTCCAACATACTGCAACCATTTGCAGGTTGTCATTTGACTAAAGGTCTCATCACCATAAGATTCGTGCAACATATTGTGGGTTTCTGCAGCTATTCTCCTTACTTTGAACTAGAATTTAATATAAATTCTTTACTCCTTTACAGATTCCCCACTAAACATGAAAAGACAATGAAATCGGTTATAAAAACTAAATGGAATGTCTAATCTACTTGGAACAAAGTGGCTTGCATAACTGTCAGATTACAAGGTCACTCAAATAACACCTAATGTGACCAGTGCACTGCTGCTCCGTGCCATCACTTTGATAACTATTTGAACACATCTCATATGTACACACACACACACACACACACATACACATTTCTTTTTGCATTAAGATATGCAATAAAGCTTTCATAAATCACATATTAAAGAACCATTTACCATAAGAATAAAGCTTTTTCATATAGTACAAATGTACTTACCTTCTTGAACAACCTGCTATTAGAAACTGGTAAACTATGAGTTTTTGCTCTCCGTTGGGTGATGAAATCATATAACTGCATATCATGATGGGCAGAGTACTGATCTAGTTTTCGTTTTCTGTTCACTGAAACCTATACAACACAATAAAAAATGGCATTATGATATTCAGTTCAATTTACCTACATTTCAGCAAAATATTATATAATGAAACATCCACACAGAGAAATTCAGACATCCAAACAGCTATTTGTCATAGAAATAAAATTTAATAAATTCATAAATGTCTCATCAGAATTATAACCTTACAATTTCCATACATACACAAAACTACTGGCAAAATAATTGTTTTGTTTGTCTAGGAACTGTAGCAGCAATTCAACACATCTTTAATTTCTTACTACTCTTCCAAAATATATGAACTTTGCTACATTTCCAAAGAACTTATTAGTTATTTTTATATCATGGTTTTGCTCTGTATTTAGATGCTGAGATATAAATGTATTGTAAGTAATTGAAGTAAAAACTTTGCTCTCATTAATTTCAACATACCAGTTTAAAACATTCTGTACCTTGTTAAGTACTGGTACCACAGAAAATATCAGATGAGCAGTTACAATTTCTGTGTTAGAATTCTGCTACAATTTAAGCCCAGGATGCAACTTAGCCATTTACAGTAAAGATATGATGCATTACCTGAGAGAATTTCTTAGCACAATGCCTCAATGGTTGAGTGTTCAGAGCATGACGGTGATACTGCATATGATTGCTAACAATAGAAACAGCAGGTGAAGGATCCAGGCAGAGGGGGCCTTGTGTTGCTAGAACCAGCTGACTCTCCAAGGCTAGCCTATCTTCTGCATTCCATTCCCCGTCAGCAGTCAATAAGTTCACATCACAGAGAAGACTCTGTAAAACATGCAATACAATCATAATTTTGATGACTACTGTCTTCTGGGATATGACACTATGTAGTTTTGTAGACCTTTACTAACATTTCAGAAGAATATTCTGCCTCTACTGTCTGGGTAGGGGAGTAAACAGAGGGTGAGAAAAGTGGTATGAGTGTAGAGACTGAAGGCTGGGACTGGGGGCCCCTGGGAAACTATTAGCACCAAGGAGAAAGAATCTGAGGCCCTTAAATGCCTATTCTACTGACAGAGAGTACAGGAGAGAAGATAAAACAGTAATTGTGGCTGATGTCAGAGAAGGGGGTAGGAAGAGGGAGGAGGAAGATGGCCCTAATAAAACCAGTGTCCATGCTCTCAAAAAGACACTGTGCATTGGGCCTAACGCCCTGATTTGGGAACCCTAAAGCGGGAATTCCTATGGAGGAGGCCTGTCTCAAGAACCTATAGTTTGTGGTGCTTGAAAGAACAATAAAAAAAGTTTTAATGCTTCTCAATACAGGTACCTGCAGAATGTCCAAATGGTACCCAGTTCCATGCCACATGTTACCCAGCAACTGCATAAATGATTTGTGCATGAAGTCCACTTGCACTACCAACACACATGCTGAATTCCAGGACCTTTACTTAACCCCACAGGAAAGCATCCAATGGGGTTATATCAGGGGAGCGTGGAGGCCAAAATATTGGTTCATTCTGTCCAGACCATCAGTTTGGATATATAACAAGCAGAAACTTTCCCACTGTCAGGCACCAGTATTGAGGAGGGGTATCTTGTTGAAAGAAAATGTTTGGTTGAAGGTGTACAAACTGCAGGAGTGCATATCATGGTAATGTGTACCCACACTTGTCTACTCTTGAAAGATGGATCCAATCACATCATGGTGAAAAAGGGGGTACCACACATTCAATTTTGGGATATCCCATTTGTACTGAAGAACTGTATGTGGGTTCTCTGAATCACAAATTCTGCAGCAGTATCAGTTTACTACACCACAAAGGTGCAAGGCCGACTGATCACTAAAACTGACTCTGTCAAAGAAGCCGTTGCTGTTGCCAGTGCAGTCCAGCATTTCCACAGCATATTACTTCCAACAAGGCTTATGTCCAGTTGAAGTGGATACACCATCTGGATAATATATGCATGAAGTTCTAACTGACTATGGAAAATCTTCTGTAAAGGTGAAGAGAGAGTTTCAGTTCTTTGCTGGCAAGATGAGTGGATTTCCCTGGGCTGTGCTGAAAAGCCTCCTGCATCCTCTTGACAAAATTAGTATTTACTGAAGGCCTGCCCGTCTTCTTATGCTGGACAGTGCCTGTCTCTTTAAACTGTACCAAATGTCACATGATGCAGGTAAAGGTAAAGCTATCCCTGTAACAGGCCATGAAGGCCCATAGGGTTGTGAGACATTGAGGCTCCCACATTATGTAGACAGTTGACTCACAGGTGGTGGTAAGGCTGTCAGCCTTATGCACTGGCCACCCTTTAGCCCCAGGAAGATTCCTGGTACTCATTTCTGTTAGAGGCTGAGTCAACCCCAGGGCCATAGTGCAGCTGGAAGGATTAGGTAAACTGAAAAAATCCACCTCATCGTAACTTGAACCTGTGACCTTCCAGCTTGTAGCATAGGCCTCAACCAACTACGCTATTGTGTGCCCCCAAACACAGTCTACGTAGTAATGTACTGTAACAGTGGGAAAAAAAAAATCTTGAAATTTTTATAGATTTATGTTTTTGGCACCTCTAATTATGAAAAAGTAACTTGGGAATGCTATCTGTCTGTACTGAAGTATGTATGGCTGTGCATCTGGTTAGCTCCTGAATGCTTGGAGAGGATTTATTCATATTCAATATTCAAGAATTTATCCATCCAAAGTTTGCTCCCCGGTAATCTGAACCATCCAGTTTAAAAATAGGGGCTCTTCAAACAGGCCCAAAACACAAAATGATGATTTTCTAAAGAAAGAGCTTACATTTCAATAATTTACGGAGACAAAATCCGTAAACAAAACTGAATATGTGGGATCATCAGGAAAATAAATGTATTCTCACATCAGGCACAAATGTGATACAACAATTTTCATCATTGTTGGTCTGTATTCACCAACCAACAGTGGTCTACCAAACAACAATCAATTCAGTTTCCAAGGTAATATAGTTGAGGGCAATCATATATGAGAAAGTATGTGCAATGTCTTTGCAGCGACTTCTACATATACACGGAAACAAAATGGAAAAAACTAGGGAGAGACTAAGACCAATTTCAAGGTGCTTTTCTAGCATCCACCTGAAAAGACAGATAAATCACAAAGGATCCATCAAGATAGCCAATGCTGTGGTCAGATTCAAGTGGAGAGCTCCACAGTAAAAGTCAGGTATATTAGCACTGAGGCAACATGGTGAGGAGAAATTAAATTTACTGTCTCAATTATCTATTTACCTGTGTGGTCGGCCGAAGAAGCACATGATGTGTATCATAAACACAATGCTGCAATGCCTGCCGGTAGTCTCGAACTTCTGCTATGATACAACCACTGTAAAACAATTCTGGATTTGATGCTTCCAACAGATCAAGAATCACTGGAGGTAATTCTTCATTATCAATGTAACGCAGAAGTTCATCTTCTTGGTAAGGCCAACGCATCGTTTCAATGATGCCTTCTGTAGCACCACCACTGCCGTTACCGGAGCTGCTAGTACTGGCTGCAGTGATAGGATGGCCGCTGCTGCTACTGCCACCTATGGACAGAACCCTATATTACTGCCACTATTTAACCCTTTGCATGCCATGAGACAATCACACTGAATCGATGTACTTGCACTAAAACTGCCACACCCAAAGAGATTGGATCAATGTTTGTATCAACATTAAAACTTCAGCTCCAGTGATACTTTATCTACCACAAATCCCAAGAGGACTACCACTGATTGAATGTGAGAATTCACAGTAAGAAGCTAGTGACTAACCACCTGACCTATGGTATGGACATATATAAACATTAAACATGGCTACTCAGTTACAGAAGAAGTTATGGACAACTAAAACAACAAGAACTAGAGTTGTAAGTAATACGGACTGCAATCCAAACCTATTATAAACAAAACTAATATATGTTCTACATGGCATTATATCCCAGGAGATGGAGCACCTTGTGGTCACCATGGTCCAAACCTCAAATCGAACAAAACTAATCTATACCAACATTTCTTACAGTAATATGATCTAAGATTCTTTTTTTTTTAATTGCTAGTGGGGTGGGATTAAGTCGCTTGCACTGCAGCCACTTCTGGCCTATTGTACCAGCCCCAGATGAGAGGTGAGGGTGATTGTGGAGCAATTGGTGGAATGAAGATTGGCAGGGGAAACCGAAGTACTCGGAGAATACCTGCCCCAGCCCCACTTTGTCCGCCACAAATTGCACTTGACCAGACCCGGGATCGAACCCGGGACCCTGCGGTGGGAAGCCAGCAACTAACCGCTTGAGCTATGGCGCAGCCATGATCTAAGGTTAGCAGTCACAGTTTATTCTTAGTTCATTTCATGAGCTTTCAATTGCTAAGATTATATTAAATGAAAGAATGATTAATGAGGAATGTCTGCAGAGCATGAGAGGGACAGTACCTCTCAGACCTACACGGTTACACCTCGTTAATTGTGACAACCTATGGGAGTAGTCTCCATGCCAAGATCTGAACCCAAGACATCCTCAACATGAGGTAGGCTATCAGTTCAACCACAATGTTCATTGGCTGGCTGTATATCAGGGCATGCGGAGTCACATGGAACTCTACACTTGATCCAGTTCTACATACCTCCTGATTTGCTGTGGATACGTATACCAATGGAGTAGCCTTTGTTTCCTGGATACAGGTTCACTATTAGGGTGTTCAGGCGCTCACGTTTCACAAGTTTGTCCACGAGATGTGAGCAAGATCTGAGATGCTGAAACAAAGACAAAACAAGTTAGTTTAAGGTCATGTATTGTACCTTTGAGGAAAAGTGGGCACATGCGTTCTTTTGCCAGAAAATGACCACAGAAAATGCAAACTTTACAGGTGTCACTACCAACAGCAGAGTACATTCACTCTTTCACAGGAGATGATCTCCCAGTAATTATATTTCATATATAAAATACTGCTGTATGGCACTGAAAGATATATGACCCCAATGACAACAACTGTTGCTGTTTCCTTTTATTTAACATTTTTATATCACTAAAATCTTGTCAATTTCAATTCTTCAGTTGTTACACTCATTATCATTGTCATCATTGTCGTTGTCCTTATTCTTTTAATTATTACAAGGCCTACTGGGATATGTTATTAATATCATAAAACAGAATCATTCAATCATTTCAGAGGTGTTCCCAAACATCTGTCTTCTTTTGGTTAATATTTTTTATCTTTCCCAGAAACTTGTTAGACCTCATTCCATCAATGTGTTCTTCAGCTGTTGTCATATGATGTAAAACTGTCTTTCCGTTTAATAATATTTAGAGGTAACATTCTCAGTATACCCAGTCTCTGACTAATGTACGTTCTACTAACATAAATTTGGTTTAACACAGTTCTTAAATAGGGATCATTCTTGACTAACATGACAGTCTTTTTGGCTTAACATGATTTCTCTGTGGTTTTTTCCTTGGATTACATCACTTATTAAGGGAAATTCATGTCAGACTAATATTATTTCACCTTACACAAACCTTTTCAAGTACACACGTATTATGTTAGTTGGAGAATGGGTGTACTTTGCTATGATGTATTATTCATCAGCTGTTCAGGGCAGGTATACTGTGAAGCAATGAGACAAGACTCATGAGATGAGTCATATTAAGTAGTGAAATCTTAGAGGAATGTATATACGATTTTGGTATGAAAGCCAGAAGGAAAGAGACCACTAGGAAGGCCTAGATGTAGGTGTAAAGTAAAGTAAATAAAGGTATCCCTGTAACAGGCCATGGAGGCCCATAGGTTTGTGAGATGTTGAGGTTCCCACATTTTCTAGACAATAGGCTCATAGATGGTGGTGAGGTTGTCAGCCTTACGCAGCGGTCGCCCTTTACTCCCAAGAATATTCCTGGTACTCATTTCTGTTAAAGGCTGAGTTGAACCCAGGGCCACAGTGCGGCTGGCAGGATTAGGTCAACTGAAAAAATCTAATAACCTCATCGGGACATGGACCCACGACCTTCCGGCTTGTAGCATCGTGCCTCAACCAACTATGCTACCGCATGCCCCCCTAGATGTAGGGGGGGGTGGATAATATTAAAATGGATTTAAGATAGGATGGGGTGGTATGGACTGGATTGATCTGCCTCAAGACAGGAACCAGTGGATGGCTCTTCTGAACATAGCAATGAATCTTTTGGTTCCATAAAATGTTGGGAAATTCCTGGGTAGCAGCACAACTGAAGGCTTCTCAAGAATGGCTCAATTCCATGGAGTTAGTCAGTAAATCAAATGGCAAAAACAAATCAGTTTGTTTCTTCATTTAACTTCACTTTTCTCCAGTAGAAGGTGTTCAGCTATCACTCTTATTCGTATTTCTCTTCCCCAATGAGAAGTTCCGTGCCAAGTCGTCTCAAAACACACATACACATTTCTCAGTGCTGTGTCAATATGCGTACAAGTTATGAGAACCAATATCTTTCCTTGAAGAGAGCAACTTTCTGGGATACAAATCTATCAAGCAGCTGCCTGCCTCAAGCCACTTTCCTGCTGGTCTTCCTCTACAAACCTGAAGATAACAGCGACATGTTCATCCAAAATATCAGCTGGCTTTCATTGGACTATACAGCATTATATCCCAGAATACAGAACTCTTCGAAACCGCTACTGTCAGAATATCAAATTCTACATAATAAACATTTTTCCTTGATTAAATATTTAGCTCAGCTGGTTGATTGAGCTGCTATCAAGTATACACATGACCAGTGCGTAAGCTTGAGACACTAAAATTTTATGTTTCACGTACTGATATGCCAAACATGAATAAAGGGAATAATGAATAAATGGTCGTTACTGAGCAGCATACAAAAATATGCAACATGAATGGAACAATTAACTTTTAACACAAAGAATCAATGCTAGATCGTCTCTTTAAGGAAAGTGTCATTAACCTATGGGGGGGGGGGAACAAAAAGAAAAATCACAGTTAGGTTTTAGACATGATCCAAATTAAACAACAGTTTTTTTTTCCAAGTGCTATTTATTAAATTATTTAATTATGCTGGTGCAACTGTTTAAGTTATATAGTGTCAAATGAGATGAGAAAATACAGGTGATTCACGAAGTTTTACCCCCACTTAGGGAGGGCATTCCTGAGGCAATTTGGAACAAAAAATGTTAATACACTAATGGTATCCGACTCATAATTAAAGTGATACAGTAGTTTGAAAACTGGCAAAAGATCTTTTTTTCTTCGATTTTCAGTCAAAATAAATTAGAAATACAATTCAAACACTTTTTAAATGGTTAATGTTTTAGGAAAGAAACATTCTAAAACCAATTTTTTTTTTCAATTTCTTAATTTTGCTTTGTGCAACATTTTTCATCAATTGTATGTTACAAAATTACATTAGTTTCAGTGTCCCATTCTGTAAACATACCAATGGTTGCATATCACACCCTTCTATCAATCTGTTTCCTTTAAACTGTAGTGCTTTACATGACGACTGGATTTACATAAGATTTTCAAAAATTTCTCCCTGGACGTCAACACAACGCGTCGCAAGCGTATGAACTGCACTTGTAGCATTTCGCAGTTCCACACGCTTTTTCCTTATTGTCATCTCCGCATCCAGTATACGTTCAAGCAATGCTTCAGGTGTTTGTACCTTTATCTGGTACACAATGTCCTTCATCCAGCCCCAAATGCAATAAAATGAACAGCCCAATTAGCTGATCATACAGAACACCACACCAGACATTGACACTGAATCAGTCTTGAAAATTTGATTCTATCATGGCACGGGGATTACTGTCTGCCCAAACATGTAAGTTGTGACTGTTGTTGACCCCATCACGTGTAAATTGTGCCTCATCACAGAACATTATCAAGCGGTACAACTGCCGATTTCCATTTAACCAGTTGCAGAACTGCAGACAAAGAGCACGGTCTCCTGGTTGTAGGTGTTGTACTTCTTGTAAATGATAAGGATGCAGCCCACTCTCATGAAGAGTCCTCCACGCCATGGACTGAGAAACACCAAACCGCCGAGCTAGACGTCTTGTACTGGCACAAGGAATGTGCTCTACAGCATCAAGAATGGTTTCTTCTTCGCATAATTCACGTTGAGGATTTCGTTCATATTGTATACGAATGCTGGAGAGAGAACCAGTTTGTCTTAATGTGCTGAATGTACTGCTAATGGATTTAGGATTCGGAATCCTGCGAATAGGATAACGCTGGTGATATTCGGCAGCAGCGGCTCTCGTATTTCCATCACATACACCAAAAACAAACACCATATCGGTGTATTCCTCAGTGGAAACTGTGTATGGCATCTTAACTTCACATAGTCACCAAGCCAACGTCCTCTTCACTACTGGATCGCGCAACATTCCAGCTGGTCAGCTTATCTGCTGACACAGCTGAATGGAACGCAAGGTTGCCCGGGGGGGCACCATAGCACTGCATTCACAATGATGCGTTTCAAAAATCTATTGTAACTCCGTAACTATTGAAAATCAACCAAAAATTTATAAGGAAATTTTGCAGGAGATAACCCCAGGAATATGTACCATTACCCAGGGTAAAACTTCGTGAATCACCCTGTATATCATAAGTACAGAAGGAGTTTGCAGTTATGACTGATTTCAAGTACTATCCCAGGATGCACTTAGGCCCCCCATACACACACAGTTTGGCCTTCCGATCGACCTTACAGGCAAAACTGTGACAGTTTACCTCCTCCCTTTCCTCCTCATACATGCGCAGATAAAGCAGCAGGCTTCATGCCACAATCACGGTCTTCCAGCCTATAATGTTGAGTCACACACGTTACGTGCTACGGTCCTGCAGGCAGAACTGACGGACTGACGGGTTTCCCACAGGCCAACAGTCCAAACGATTGGCCGGCCGGCCGCACCACTAACGTCAGTTTTGCCTTTCAGTCTTCAACTGTGCAGGTCGAACTGGAGGCCAAACTGTGTGTCTATGGGGGCTCTTAGAGAGGCAGAGGAAAACCATAAAAAGATCTGTCAGGAGGGCCAGTAGCATAACTTGAGATTTAACCCAGGTACCTTACAAGTACAAGTATACAGCTTTCCTGTCACATCATTTGCCTCATTTTTTAAAACTATTCCAGCTGTACACAATGTAACAGGGTATCCAGTATACTGCTTTTATGGGATCATCCTTTTTGTGAATGGTCCCACAACCTCAATACATTAAAAACGGGACCTTAATTATCATGTGAGGTGTGAGGTTCTCACGGAAGTAACTATGAAGATTCTAGCCTTTGGTATTATCTACATTTTGAGAGTTCAATAATTAACTAAACAAGCAAGCTTGTATCTTGTTTCTGGTCCAGAATTATTGGTGCTAATGTGGCAACACATTGACACATTCTATGTGTTCTCTGTATGGTATGCATACATTAAATGCATATAAGAGTGACAATGTCTGTATGTCAGTCTGTCAATCTACATGTATCAACTCAAGGTCTTTAAAAAAGCTGTACAGATTTTGGTTTTCATAAAGTTCAAATCACAGAAGTATACTGTATACTGTTCAGTCCTTCCAAGCAAATTCTAGGACAGAACTTTAATTAGGCCAAGACTGCTTCCTTCCAAATCCTATCCAATTCATCACCCATTTATTCATTCTACCTTCCAAAGTTATCACTCATTCATGGAGCTAAGCCCTTCTTGAGAAGCTGTCAATTGTGCAGCTACTCAAAAACTTCCCCATATTTTATGGAACCCAAAGGTTCATTA